ACCCATGATCTTAGACCCGCAATATGATTGTTTGGTAGCTAATGTCTACACAGTGTGATGGTAAACAACCTTGCGGTCACTGTGTTAAGAAAAGTTCGCACAACGAAGCATGCATCTACGAACCCCATGTCAAGAATGCGAAGATGACGTTGGTCAGAGACTTGAAAGAGAGCCGTGCTATCAAAAATATGGCAGAGAAGATCTTTAAATGTCTAGAGAATGACACTGATAACGAGCAAGAAATTCTCGGGCGCATTAAGAATGGAGATTCAATTACTAGCATAGCCCATTGGCTGGACTCTATGGATAGCAATGGAGAATCGCAGCCGTCTTCGTTCGGAGGTTCCGATAATGAGGTCGACGGTGATCTATCTAAGGAATTTTCCTGGACGACAGTGACGGATGAGAGTGAAGTAATCGAGCATCTGATCGCGCTGTATTTCACCTGGGTCCACCCGTTCCACCCTTTATTCGTTGAAGGTAATTTTGTGCACAGTATGCGAAATAGATCGGAAGCATTTTACTCGCACAGTCTTTTTAATGCCATCTGTGCCATGGGATGCTATCTACATACATACGATGAGGACGATAATGTTGACTATAAGCAGATGGGCGGCCAGTTTTGCGATTTGGTCAGGAGTAGTATCAATCCAGAAGACAAGAGTCTAACGAATATTCAAGCATTTGCAGTCATGTTCTTGGTACGATGTGCACAAGGTCAAGGCTTAAGTGGTTCCGTTTACTTGACCATCGCAACCAAGTCTATGGAAAGCCTCAGACCAAGTCACAATGACGACGTTGGTTATCGACAAGTCTGGAGAGAAACAGTCAGAGGTATAAATAGCTTGAATGTGTAAGTAAACAATTTGTCTAGCAATCAAAGTCTATTGTGAGAATGCTAACATCCTCAGCGAATGGGCCCAGATGACTTTCAAGATGGCACCAGCCTTTATTCCAGAGCTGCAGCCAACTCAACAGGACAACGAAATAACCGAATGGGAGGGCGACGTTGACAAGCTCAGCTGGAAACTATATCGACTTCCCGAAGACTTCAGAGGTGAACCGACATTCCCTTGTCTCACGGCAACTACCAACCGTGAAAAGTTGAAGCTCATTGAAATCATTCGCGACGCTACGATCCTCTTATACAACGCCACTGGTCCTCAAATATATGCCGAAGACTTGCTGGCTATTTATCGAAGGCTATTGGTTTGGCACGAGAATTTACCACCAAAGATTGCTAGGACAGGCGAAAAGAACCCGCAAGCATTGCCACATGTGCTTTCACTGCAGTAAGACTCATTCCCCGTTTTTATTCCCCGTCCTGTGACAGCACATTGACTAACTGCTCAGTATATTGTATGCTACAACGGCAGTTCATCTTCTAAGCCCACTACTGGCTATGGGAGAATCTTCTGTTGACCCACTGGTTTGGCAGCATGCCCAAGACGGGCTTAACCTTGTTGAAGATCAATATCGCTTTCAGTATACGTGTCGCTTTCAGCCCGTTTCTCAGCTGTTCGCTATCCTTCATCTGTCGGAGGTTCTCATTCGAGCCTTTCCTGAAATTGATCAAGAATTTGGAAAAGATGGGATAGCATCCATAAAACTGGCCACCGAAATTTTAGCAGAATCTCATAAGAGTTTCCCTATTGCTGGAGTCTTTATGGCAATGCTTCAGGAGACTGCCAGGAGGTTTCTAAGCCGGTTTCCAAACGCACTGGAAGACGCCTTTCGTCTCCGACGTCGCAATTCGAAGTATCATTTGGATGATGCCATTAACGCGTGTGGCGGGCCAACTTATGTCCAGCCGCTTGAAGCTATTCAAAGAAGGTTTTCTCCCGATATGCAATCTCAATGGATCTTACATGCTGCTTCTGGACATCTCAGATTACCTCACGAGACATCAACATTACAACAGCCTTCACTAGAGGAAACGGGTGCCCAAAACCTGATGCGAATTCTCAATTTACACAACACAAAGTAACACATTCCATCAACTTGAAAATCTTAACATCTATATCCAAGCAAAAGAAGCAGCTGCTTTTCGCTTCTTTTTTTTTTTGGCGCACAAAAGTTCTTGGAGAGGGTATCGTGTTCAAGAATCGCAATTCGAAACGAAGGTCGACATTTGTTAATGATTCGGAAACTTCTTCTGGTTGGGGGAAGAGAAATACCTGAGGGTAAGATGGCTCTCTTCAGGACGTCTCTAGAGAGAGAGATTTTCAATTGGTATCAATGCCTTTTTGTTTTCGCACGGCGAATGCTGGTCATCATCCCGAATATACGAGAGTCAAATGACGATGCTGTCCTTCTCAATGATGCACAAAAAAAGAGGTCCGTCCTGCAGTCTTCGAACGAATTTCCATCTACTCATACGACTATCGTCGATCGCAATTTTGTACTGCGCATGAGAATGAACGACTATCGGCGATATGAGCTTTGGCTTGCTTGATTCCTCTTGCAGTTATAGTTGAATATAAAGCGTCGAAATTACCGTAGCGAATTTGTTGATTCGGAATGCGATATTGGAGGAACGTAAGGTTGGTGGATTTTTGAGAGATTGCGAGACACTGGGAGTGGAGGTGCCCGCCGAAGTAGTCTACCGTTACTCTTGAAGCGACGTGAGGATGATTATTCGCCTTCTCTATATATGACCATATAGCCACATAATAATCCGGTAGAATGGTCTAAAAGGTCCAATTCGACAGATTTGGAGGCATCTTGTTGCCTTTCCAAATAGATGGGGAATATGATGGGTTGATGGTGGCGAACAATAAGGTAAATTTCTTCGGTGGAAATAAATGAATTTGACAATAAACTTGATATTGCGAGTCAATATCATTTGGATGACACAGGTGCTAAATCATCAGGCATAGTACGCCTCCTCGAAAAGTTGATTTGAATGTTTGAATGTTTGAATGTTTGAATGCACGATAGTGGGAGGTAAATATATGGTAAAGGTATTTCCCATGATGTCGCCGTAGGCCTATGAAGGTGTGTTGCCCATGCCTTCTGACCTGCACGTGTCCGGTGGGCGGTAGCTTTAGCCCTCTAAACTTACGATATAAAAAAGGGTGGATAAGATGAATTGCGATATCTGTACCGATTTATCGATTCTTTTCCTTGATTGGGATTTTCAGTGTTTTCTCCCGGCGTTGCACCAAAACAATACACCGACATAAATGTACCTCCGTACCGGTACTGAATGAAGTGACCTTGAGGAGGCGAAAGAGGACCAAGGAACTAGAGGACTCTAATATTTCGTACGTTTTACTTCGGAAATGTCTCCCCACTTATTGTTTGATTGGCTCCTTGATGATTTGAGTGGACCACAGCAGACAAGCAGACACAATTCTTCGAGGATAACAAACTTTGTCATTGACACCAATACCACAATACCATCTTGGACAAGAGGGTAAGTGAGTATTCCTTCATGTTGTGGGTTGATTCTGGGGCGTAAAAATGATACAAAATGCACTGAGAACTCGCATCAGATTTAAATCATGCAGTACCCTTCTCAACCCAAGATACCCTCGGCACATGGGAGTTATGATGATATGTGTACAGCATCGTGGATACATCGCATCGGAGTATTTGACTTGCGTCCCTAGAGCGGTTGATAACAAAAAGTTAAGAAGAATTGAATATAGCGGAGGTACGAACAAAAGACACATACGAATTAATTTGCCTTGGTCGTCAATTGATAACCTACCAACATGTGTTGGTAATCCTTACTAAGTTCTGCACCGACAACAACTTTTGAACAAAGCAAGCCAGGAACAAAACCTGTTCTAGAACATTTTCGCATGTATTTAGCTCTGGACGCAAAGCTTTCATCATCATGGGGTTGGACCTGTCAAACTGAGATATCTCGCAACAATTAGCCCCTTTCCTTTGTATGTGTAGAATGACTGGGAATGCTAACCATCTACTCAAATGTGGAATGGGCGAATTGAATAAGGTTACTGTTACCTCAATATCCAATGTCCGAGGCTACGTGGCATTAGTATTGATAATGCAAACAATCCTGCCTTGTACGTCCCATGCCTGAAATCCCATTGCTTCGGCATTGGTATCGACGACTACGGTCAAGGTAAATAAATACAAGCATTGTATTGCGCGCCGAGATGTGCGACTGGCGGATATCAATTAACCTATCGATGGTAAAGCTGTCATCGTCCCAAGGTTGTCAGAAAGAAATGCGTCCAGCCATCAAATACGTTTCTATATTCCCTGGTTAGTCGTCGACTTGCTTGCACTGTGGGATGCGCGACTGAAGAAATCAAACATACATGGTGAGGTAGTTTTATCAGAGTTCTCTGAGCCATTGTATCTATACCTCTTCGCCCGGAGTCATCTCGTGGATTGCCTGCATTGAAAAATTCGCAAAGTGTGCGACTGGCGGATTCAAGTATATGATGAGGTTGTCTATCCAATCAATGGTATCTGAAATCTTCAAGCCATCGTGTCGGTCTCGTGGCAATCCCGTTGATTACTGTGTACACAAACACGAATTCGAGAAATTATTTTGCTTTGAGGATAAGGACGAAAATGGGTGGTTAGGTAAGGTGAAGTTAAAACGAAAGGTTTGAGAGTCGAGTGCAAGTGCGATTTTTCGTGGTTAACAAAGGAAGTCACGACAGTATGATGGCCCGATATACAGAGTATCAGTGAGTCGTATAATTATTGAACAGTTATCAAATTTTCAAAGTTTCAGTCCATTGATTTATAAATCTTGGTGATAGATGACAAGTTGTCTAATGTTGTGCATACTTGATTACATACGGTGACGTGAGGATGTATGTCATTCTATACACCTATATATACATCATATCACAGAAAGATCAGATTTCTATCCTTTTCCAAAACAGCTCATAATCTTTCTTCATTCATCTGTATTCTCATTATCCGTATAAGTAGTTTGGAAAATATATTGTCCTGTTCATTCATTGATATAACTATCACGTGATGCAGTCTTTTTCACTCGGTCAGGACGAGTGCCAGACGCCGGAATATCTAACTCTGCCATGATTGTTTTAAGACCAATTTTAAACTTCAGACTTATGCCATGTGATTCTTCACCTCCCAGAGTTTACAGAAAAGGAAAACTCCGCCTCGGGAGCTTAGGTCTTCACCTACTGGGATGGCTCTGATGACTATGTCTGTTTAAAAATGGAAGTTCTCATTCTAATCATGAGATTGCTACTAAACATCCGAGAAGTACTATTATATACTGCTCAAGTTATGAAAGATTACGATCTTCCTAACCGAAATGTATAGAAGACTAAATCTATGGAATCCCAACTTCTCATAATGAGCCATGAGACATCGCACAGCTGTTGATTCGGAGTCAATCGTCCCAATATTGTATACGATTATTGCAACCAGATGGTACAAATTCAAGTTATTAGTTATGCTTGAATCGTTTTATACTTCGTTAACAATTGTAAGATTAAAGAATTGGTTCTTATGACAGCGACAGAATTACTCGGGAACTTAACCACTTTCGAGACGCACAATCACAACGTTAATTTTATCGAACCCGCGATACCGACTGCTCTCAGATGACCGTACACCTTTTTTTTCTGCATTTCAATCATGTATCTGCATTTAATATGGCGGTTCTCGTCCACAAATTGTTTAGTATAATCTCGCATTCCGGACAAATCTCTTATCTTAGACTCCTAGCTACTGAGCTCAGAATATAGTGTAACAGGCAGGATAAAATCGATTCCGGCTTTCATCACCACATCTACATTAGCTGTTTAATAAAAGATGTTACTCTTTGAGACTGAAAAGTTTGTCTCTGTCAATGTGGATATATGCATCTAATGCCGATGACTTCAACTCCTTCATATAGCATCATGCTTCCACTTGAAAGATCTTAACTTACATGACATTAGAAATGGGAATTTCGATATTAATTTTCATCTTAGTCGCTGGCTGAAGTATTGCTCTCAATTCAACCATCTCTTGTTCTTCTTCCATGCTATATGTTACGACGGCTATCTTCTACGCCGCGTCACATGACTAAACCAAGGTAACGTGATTAAGTCACGTTATGGACCGCTGCGCGGTGTTGTCACGAATCGTGGTTTGGATTAGTGTCCTGAGGCAGATAAAGAATCACGTGATGGATAGACCAGTCTATCCAGGCTATCCAATAGTATCCAGGAGTATATAATCAGAATAGTTTCATAGTTTAGGAGCTTCGTGCTCAACTTAGTTATCAATTAGTTTATCTATATTCTACTTGATCTAGTAACGAATTCACTTCCAAGTGAATACCAGTGATAAAGCCTTAACCTACAACTACCAACCAGACGAAACCTCAGGCAGCCGCTGCCTCCAGTACAGTATCGTTACAGGTGTATGGATGTGAGTTGATTGGGTAGATGGGGTGTATGTAGAGTGTATGTAGGGTGTATATAGGGTGTATGTAGGGTGTATGTAGGGTGTTGAATGATTGTGTAGATGAGTAGATGAATAAATATAAATTCAAAGAAGGAAATGATATATGTATATAGGTATCGAGTATATGGAATCATGGATGGATGGATGCGTGAACATCTTTTGAGATAGAGATTGGTATTGGTATTGAGATGATATTGGTTTTGTGGCGAAATTAGATGGTTTTCTTTGATTTTTTGTTGTTGTTCTTGTGGGTAGAGGTAGAGGTAGAGGTTGAGGAAGAAGATGAGATGATATGGGAGAGACGGATGAACATGTCGAAGAACATTATTATTGCTGTGGGGGATAGAATTGAAAGGTTAGTTATTTGTGTTAATTCGTTTGTTGATGTTTTTGGGGGAAGGGGGAAAGGGGAAAAGGGATGGATGATGGATTTTTTGTGTTTCTTTTGTTTGGTTTTAAATTGGGGGTTCGCCGGTATAACTTGGCAACCTCACGAACAATAAAAGAGAGAGGAGAAAAGAGCGAGTGGCTCTTTACTTCCAGCTCATTCATCTTCCTGCATAGAAATCACGAACCATAAATTGGCAATGTGAAGTTATGCGTTGTTTAGAAGCGGAATAAAAGTTACACTAATTGAGAGGGTAGTAAAAAAGAATGATACAAATACACACATAATAATATATAAGGTCCATAAAGAGTAGTTAAATCGATTTTTTGAGAGAGAGGAATTGGCCAGTAGAGATATTCGTGGATGCAGACTAGAGTGGTGAGAAATACCTCGAGGGCGTAGGGAAGGAGGATTAGAGGGGTATAGGGGGAATCTAGTGGTGGGTGTTAGTGGTTTGAAGTGTTTGGAGGTATGGTGAGAGCTGTGGGAGTTGTGGGAGGGAGAAAGGTTGAAGCGAAAGAGAAGGAGAAGAGGGCGGGGATAAAATGAGGGGGAGGGTATGGTGGGAGTTGTAAGTGGGGAGAAAGGCTGAAGCGAAAGAGAGGGGAAGGAGAGGAGAACTGTGGAGGGAATGAGGGGAACGGGTGAAGGGAAGACAATGAGAAATAATAGAGGATGTATTTGGAAGGTAGAAGAGAGATGGTTGATATCTCAGTCATGGGCATAGGGAATAAGAGGGGTGTCGGAGATGAGTATGTAAAATAAAAGAGCAGTAGTATATTACAAGGGTTAAATAAGAGAGAACTTAGAAGAAGGGTATTGTTCTTTGATATAAAGTATCTTGAATATGAGTGAACCGTGTAAGATACGATGCAGATATGAGAACATTGTAGTCCAATATCTTGAGAATGCAGATGAAGATAGAGATGGCAGACAATCTGATCCGATGATTGATATTTACTCAATGAAGAATAGAGAAGCTGTTTACACTGAGTTCAAGTATTTTCATCCAAAGCAAATATTGTAATACACACTTGTGCAGGCCAAGTTTTTCACCATTGATATCTTGAGTATTTCCCGGTAACTTGACTCGTACATTGCCCTCTTGACTACTCTACTCCCTCAACTCCCACAAACGACTAAAAACCTCAAAACAGACACGTACCTCTTAACAATCCCCCCACAGCCCACAAACTAACAGGAACATGAAGTAAAAGCTCCAACCAGATGAAAAGTTTAAAATAGATAGGTGGCGAGATGAAAAATAAGTCGTGATAAGTTGTTATGTAATAGGTTTTTATGGTTGTTAGGAAGGAGGGGACGAGGTGGGGTGGATAGATTGCTTGGAGGTCCATTACTAGAAGAGGGTCAGTGTGGATTGGGAAGGTCTGGGGGCAGGGGAAGAGAAGGGGGCAAGAGAGGGGGCAAGAGTTGAAGACGGAAAGCAATTGGGCATGTCAAAAATAGAGGAAACTCTATAGAAAAGGTAAAAACATACAAAACATAATCGGTATATGAGTAATAAAGTAGATGAGATATCCAAGGTCGAGTTTGCGAGTGAAAATTGAAGTTGCCATTGTGCTTCAGAAAGGGATGATGATGAGAGTCTTCTTTTTGAATTACTATTACAATCTCTCAATTGATCACAATTTGATATTTTGGGCTAGAATTGATGAGGTTGGAAGTTATCGCGATATCCGATAGCGTACATGTCGCGGAGGTGAGGTTTGGTCATGTGATCAGCGGAAATGGGGCCCACAAAATGTGCAACTTTGAACTTCAACATCAATGAAAACATGTCAAAGTCAAGTTGTCTCATCTATGATTTCTTCCACCTTCTCACGTACATTGTACATAGTACATCCTACCTCGTATATCATACATCATACATCTTATATCCTACATCTTCATGCCCGCTTTACTACGACTTGATCACTCATCATTTCCCGTCCCTGAATATCTGTTCTCCCATTTAGTCTTGCGCACATAAAACTAATGGGCATATGATGTACCTCGGAGTCCGTAGACGTACCATGTTTTCATGTCTCGTCATTCATTCGTTTCATTTCTCCATTTTGAAAGATATTCTATCAACTTTGTTGGTCAATATCATATGCACTTAGTGGTGTATTTTTTGATTACTATTCTTTGGTTGCACGGTGTCCACGCTAGTGACCACGTTAACGCACCATATACTTTCTGTGTTCATGCAACCCTCAATTGAAGGATTAGTCAATATATTCAAAATGAGTTAGCACGGTTGATTAGATGTTTAGTGAACATCCTCAAGCTTCATGACAGTGTGCTAGAATTAATAATCATTATATCTCTCGCTCTCAGCTATGACATTGATTGATATATAAATTCAGAGTTGCCCTTGAGATAAGTCAAAATCACTACCAACTCATATCAAAATCTCATTCTATCTTTCTCCTTTAAGCAAGCCTTTCAGCTCACCCACAAACATCATGTCATCTCATCAAGCTTCCAAAATCTTCGTCATCGGAGGCACAGGAGCTCAAGGAATACCTGTCGTCAAGGCTCTTGTCGCCGACAAGAAATATCAAGTTCGGGCTTTAACCCGTAATACAAAATCCGCTCGAGCCCAAGAACTCCTCGCCTTAGGTAACGTTGAACTGCTCGAAGGTACCTTTGCCGATGAGGATGTTCTTCGTGCAGGATACAGAGGTTGTGATGGAGCATTCATCAACATTGATGGTTTCAATTCTGGTGAAAAAACCGAAATGTTTTGGACAATTCGTTCTTATGAATTTGCCATTCAAGAAGGAATCAAATTCTTCGTCTATGGAAACTTGGATTACGCATTGAAGAAGAGTGGATGGCAAGAGAAGTATCATGGTGGTCATTATGATGGAAAGGGAAGAATTGGTGAATGGATTTTATGGCAAAATCAAAGTAACCCTAATGGAATGGGAGCGGCATTATTTACCACATGTCCATATATCGAAATGTCCATCACAACCGGAACAGTTATGACGCCTGCTGTAGAGGATGGTGTCGTAACATGGAGAGTTCCAATAGGAGATGGTGCTGTTCCCCACGTTTATTTGGAAGATTGTGGATTTTATGTCCGATGGTTATTTGATCATCCTGAACGTACTAATGGGATGGATCTCGAAGTTGCTATTGCCGATATCTCATATACCGAATTGGCAGCTGCATTTGAAAAGGTCACAGGTCATCCTGCTCAATTTATCCATACAGAGTTCGAGGAATATTTTCAGCGATTTGGACCACTAGCTGATACACCAGCTGGATTCAATGCGGATCCAAAAGATAAGGCAACAATGACTTTAAAAAGAAATTTCACCGGTTGGTGGAATTTGTGGAGAGATAGAGTGGTGACGAGGGATTATAAGTTGTTGGATGAGATTCATCCCGGAAGAGTCAGAACTGCTGAGGAATTCTTTAGGAGAGAGGATGAGAGATTGAAGAAGGAATCCGGTGGAAAGACTGGCTTGTGGGAAAGTGTTCAACCCGGGCATGAGAGACATAGTTTGAAATTGACCGAAGATGGAAGAAGGGGAATCCTTTGAGTTGAAGTAGGTGTTGGACAAGGAAATTCTTGCGCTCGCATCTGAAGCTATTTTGAATAGAGGAATCAACCTCGATCTTTTGATTTTCTGTCAAACTCCAGATTGACAGCAGATTTTGAGGTTTTGACAATTTCTTTTCCTTTTTGGGGAAGACCTGATTTGTGGACAACGAACTATTCACTTCTTTCATTAACATTCATTCATTTTCTTAGTACTTAAACCTCAATCATTTCAAATACAACCATATCTCCGTGCAGTCATACTTCCTATGCTTAGATCTCTCGTGTCTCACTGTGAATTTTGATTTTCTCTCGTATCAGTTCTTAATTCGTGTTTTTATCTTCTCTAAAAAACCTCGTACTTGCACTTTCTAGCCTAGTTCCTTATAAGTGATGTAAGATTATTTATCACCTTTCTCTTCACTTTTTTGCGAATTATTCAATAAGATACATCATTCCTTGTTGTTGTTTGCTTCATGATGAGTAATTTTTCTTATGTCTTATGTTTCATGTCTGGCATTTTATATTTTGTATCTTGTATATTTTATCTTAATATAAATTTTATTTCAAATATATAAGATTATAAAGATGTTAATATTTATTAAAGCATATAAGTGTGACGCCTCACACCTCCGGGTCACGTGGCATGCCCCGTTTGTATTTAATCACAGGAAAACTCTCTACTCTTGTTAAATATCGAGTAAACCATAAAAAGAGAAAAATTGCCAACGATGGCTACCCCAAGCCCCCCAAACCTCTCTAAAACACTTTCCGACAAGGCCAGCAACCTTCTCAATAAGGTCAACGATGCTCAATCCATCTTCAACCCAGTTACCCAACTCCTAGATACCATACAGGAGACGATCATGCAGATTATAGGAAGTCCGCGCTCTCCCACCGAGTTCACGAAAACTCCTCACCTCCCTTTGCCTTGAGTTTAAGGCAACCATCGAACAGCACTTCGACGCCTTTGTTACCTGGTCATCCCCCCCCTAGGGGAGCTACTACTCCGCCTGTCACCCCCCTTTCCCCTCCTTCCCCCCCGACCACCACTCACACAAGTACACCCACAATGCCTATAGGCCCCAAGCCCTCCTACATTCAGAAAGCCTCTACTCCAACCATTGCCCTCACAAACAAGATTCCCTCCGATAACCGCTTATTCGTACGAATCAACCAAATGCACCCAGCCCGAAGCGCTGGATCTTTTGCAATCCTCACAGCCCTAAAGAAAGTCCTCGGACCAAACGCCTCCCTCTTAAGGGAGGTCCAAGAGGTCAAAACAGGCTTCGCTCTCTGCACCAGCTCAACAGCCAATCTATTAGCCCTTGAAAAACAGAAAGCCATTATATCATCCGCAATCGGAGACTGCAAAATTGAGGCCCAAGAGAAATGGACCACTTACCGTCTAAACTACGTCCCCAAGAAAGTCACCATCTTCAATGACCAATTCAAAATAGACTCCATCTTAGTTACAAAAGATACGATCTCCGATGCTATAAAGGAATACTCTGGTCAGGTGCTTACTCACGCTATCCAATCCCAAACGAACCCTTTACCTAATGAGTATTACTCAACATGGATAGTAAGCTTCAAGACAGGAGCAGAACCACTCAAAAAGAACCTGAAGATTCTAGGGGCCAATATTAGCACATCCCTCCTAGTACAAAAACCAAAGATCACTCAATGCAATCGTTGCTTTCAATGGCACAACGCAAGAACATGCCTCAAATCACAAATCTGCCGCCTATGCGGTTTGGGAAAGCATACAGAGAGCAATCATACTACCAGTTGTGGCACTGAACACGTATGCCCACCAAAATGCCTTCACTGCAACGGCCCCCACCCCGCAGATGCCACCGCAAATGCCCCCTTCGCCACAAGGGAGAGAAAGGAAAT